CTCTGCTTGCAACCTGTCCACAGAGGTACCAACACCTTGCATTGCTTGCAACAATCCATGCTTGTTCCATAGATTCTGGCTCAAGAGTACACTCACAAATTGGAGCAGTTGACGCAGCAGCAGATTTTCCGAAATCTTTACGGCAACTTGGAGAAACATGCATGATCAGAGCTTCTGTACGTATCTTGCGAACGAGGTATGCCCTTGATCTTTGATCCTATCGGACCAAAGCAAGACGACACAGGGAACGTCGGCAGAGCTTTGCTCTTGCTGTGGGGCTGGCAGTGTCTCCTGCTCAGTGAAGATAAGTAGATAAAAGTTCAGAAGTTCTGCCAACTCTCATGTGCTTCATGTGCTTCGAGGTCGTAAGCGGTCTGGCGATTTTGAAGTGCTGTCAGGCCTAGGGATGGTTGCGGTACTGTATTATCGTTACTTTGCCTGCTCTCGATAAGACACCCGCGCCGTCTCACTGCAATCTGTTAGGCCCTGTCACAGATCTTGTCAGCGATGAACCTCACTCAGGCCTAGCCATCTCCGAATCATTCTATTTGACCCTTGTTCGTTTGACCCTCATTCGATTTCTTTGCAGGAGCTCTTCACTCCTTCTGGGCGCGAGGAGACCTGGAAAACTTGAATGGCTCCTGGTGTCAGTGGGTCGCACATAGGATGAGCTTGGCAATGACGAATAACGCAATGATAAACAATGTATACATTCCGATGCTAAGGTGACACTTTCATTGTGCCAATTCTTCACCGCTTGTGTAGTGCTGCAGACCAAAGCTCTCGCATTCATTGCCACTTGAACTACAGTATGAAAATTGCATTTACAATACATTTTTCAACAAGAGTCATGTGTGCGAGTTATCTGCAAGGCGACTACTTCATGAAGGAGATTGTCAACCGGTTGACTCACGTATGTGGACGAACTTGCGCAGATTGGTGGCGCTGTTTCTCGCCATATTAAGCCTTACCTGTTTTATTCAAGAAGTAGAAACTTGAGTATTCGGGATCAAGCACTTGAGTGATCACTGCAAGGGATGAATTGCGGCTTTGGAGTGAAGCATGTTCGACAAAGCCAATGCAAAGTGGTGAAACAAAAAGAATGTGATAAGCTGTGGTTGGACTCCTCCTGGTGTGGCTCGCTTGCATCCAATGGTGCATGTCATTGGGTTCACACTGTTAGTACAAAACATTGAAGCAACTGAGCAATTCGACCTAGGCGATGCATTGGTTTGGAAGATTACTGGCCGGATTCGCAGCACGGCTGATCTTCCTTCAGCGGAATACACTCCGAACTGGAAGCAGCTCCCACGCAAGCGATGGTATCGTCGGTTCAGGCTGGGTAAGTATTGGTATGAAACGAAGCACGAAAGCGCGAACAGACAATGATTCCAGGGGACCTGCTCCGAGACTACTAGCAGCCTCGTGGCCAGAGGCAGGACGGATTCTTTTTCCTGATTGCGGATTAGTCTTATCATTACGCGTGTTAGGAGCAAACCCAAGTGAAGAACTACAGTACCCCGCATGTGGCCTCAGACCTGTCTTTATGACTGGCGCTGTGTGTCTGTCTGGTGATGATGGAGAGCTAAGGAAGGAGGTGGCAGAAGACCACAAGACAGGCCGGAATTTAGAATATAGTGCAGCAACGTCCTTTTTGAAGCGGCGCCCAGACGTTGCAAAGGCTTAGATGAATGGTGTGACATGGTGGGAGATGTGATTCCGCTCAATGATCTGTGGTGTGTCCTGCTTGGCATAGGGATATATTGGACAACTACCCATGTATCATCTGATGAGAAGCTCTATTTAGCTAAGGCATTGCGGCATTACAGAAAACACACGGATCACTGTGCTTAGGTGGGTACTTTGTTGATGCCATCGTGGCCCGACTGATGGAAGAGAAGGACGCTGGATTGGGTTTTTGCCACTTGATTGCAGCAGACATCTCTTTACTAGAACACACTCATAGAAGACTGAGGCTTATCCAAGAGGCAAAGACGTCGTTGGCGTGAAGAAAGCATTAGACGGTGGCGGGCCAGCAAAATGCGCTGGATGGAAGCCAGAAGGGATGAAGAAGAAAGCGAGATTCTGGAGCAATACGTTGCAATTGCCAGAGAAGAAGCCAGAAGTATGATTGAGAATTCAAGTCTCTCTCTTGCATTGGTGTGAGGTCAACATAGAGTCCGCATGGTCTCTATTTCTAAACATACATTTGTATACCTTCATTGCTGTGAGGCTCTTCGGGCTTTTTGCGCCCCACTTCAGAAATCCGTCCGAAGACAACCATCTCTCGCTTTGAGTGTCTCGGCTGATGAGATCTGTGAATAGTCACTGAACTATGCTAGCGTTCTTCTCCCTTGCCTGAGGACAAAACAATTCCATCACGTATGCCTTGTTGATGTTCTCCGATGCCATGGATGGAAAGTTCCGTACGAAGAACATGGACCATTTTTCGCTGTAACAGACGGGAACCGCTTCCTGAACAAGTGGTCGCCCTTAACTCAGTTCAACATGATGTCACATCTTTTTCTGCTGCGTGTCAACACAGAAACTCAATGCTATGACCCATGCATCTTTCAGGAAGAAAGTGGTGTACATCGACCCCCAGTCACTCACCCACGAGGCCAAGAATGCTAAGCGCATTCTCTTCCAAGACCAGCACTTTGTGGCTTTGCGATTCTTGGATGGGCAATGGGAAATCAATTTTGAACGGTATACACATACCTGGGAAAAAGCTGATCTGTACCGTGGCCTTCAGCGTGGACATCCCTACTGTCAAGATGAGAAGGGCGTGTGGATTATCGATGTGGAAGAGGTCGATGCTGCCTATTACATTGCTTCCCAAGAAGATGTGTGCCACAACAGCAGAGGAAAAGATGAGTGCGGTGGCTCTATCTCTAACCACTCTGGCATGAAACGAAAGTGCGTCGAAGAGGATGAAGAAGAAGCGCAATTCCGCTCAACAAACATTCGGCACGATCGTCAAGTTGCTCTGAGATTGACATCTCTGCGAAAGCAGGGGGTGTTTGTGTGCCAAACTGTTGGAATGCAGCAACAGTCTCTGAAGTTCAAGACATTGGTCGGTACTGATCTAGAACAACTTCTTCCCCAAATTCTGATCCGAGGATCTGTCAACAGAAGCTTAATGCCTTTGAAGCCAAACGTCTGGCCTTCCAGTGTGCCGGTTCCACTGGATCATCTGAGCCAGTTACACAGGCACCCCAGAGATGAACGATTGACTTTCGACGCAGCAACTCACACCTATTTCTGGGACGGATCGAAGGTTCACATTTCGTGCACTGGGCTCATACATCGCTTCAGTCATGACTTTTGCGCAGACAAAGCAATTGAAGCAATGAGACGGTCCAACAACTGGCCACGGCCACAGTACATGAGGGGCTCCGTATCCCAGAAACTTATACTTGACCTCAGCAAACTTCCTTACGCGCATTTGTTTCTAGATCTCCTGGATGGACCTGGCAGATGCCAAACAAAGTTGTGCCAAGCGATTCAGAAGCTGATGGTTCACCACCCTGAAGACAGTAACTTGCTTTTGTCTCTTGCAATGAGCGACGAATAAATTAAAGAGCAGTGGAAACAAACTGCTGAGATTGCATCATCACAGGGCACCTGGATGCACGCCAGCTTTGAGTGCTTGCTCAATGGTGGCTACATAGAGACAGAAGATCGTGAAGACATGGAGCATGTTCTGTTTTGGAAATTTGCTCGGACTTTGCTTTCTGCTGGCGCAAAGATCTTTCGGACAGAGTGGACGATCTACGCAAGCGAGGAGGACCTTGCTGGCTCCATCGACTTGGCAGCTAGAATGCCGGTCCCTTGGGTGATGCTTTCAGCCAACCCTTTGCAGTTCAGACACAGTTTCGTTTTACTTTTCTCACTTCTTTACATCTTTTGTGTTATTCCTTGCGCACGTCCAAGTGTAGACAGTGTTGACATTGTTTTTGTTTTGCCTGTCTGTGTGAGGACAACGCTCTGTATCTGTTCGACTGGAAGCGAACAAAGAATCTTCAGTTCAAATCCAACTCCTTTGGCAAGTCAATGCTGCCTCCATTGGCTCATGTGCCCGATGCAACACTATGGCACTACAGACTACAGCTCAATCTATATGCCTCCATCATCGAGAAATACTACAATGAGACTGTGGGTGCAATGTTTGTGGTTGGCTGTCACCCCGATAATGGCATGCACCCGTTCGTGGACGATGTTCCCCGCATGCGCGCTGAAGCTGATCTTCTTTTGAGAGCATCGCAAACAGATCGCCTTGGGGGGAGCAGTCCTGCACAGTGGACATTACAACAGAAGCATGTCTTTCCAAGGCCTTCACCTATTGATCCAGAAATGCAAGCCAGGATTTGGGCTCAGCTGAAGCAATTCCGTACGGAAGTAGAGCCTTCGTTTCCTACACTTGCAAAGTTTCCACATCTCTTTTGGATTCTACCAGTTCCTTTTGATCTGCAGCAGCCACGTGCGAATTGGATTGTTCAGATGAGGGCATATGGTTGTTTCCTGTCCATGATTCACAACGGTCAGTCACAACAGTTAGAGCTTGCCCTGATGGCGTACTACAGTCCAGAAATTGAGAGGAACTTTGGACTGCTAGAACTGGTTTCAACTCAAAAGGCTTCTGTCAGCAGACGTGACAGGCTGAAGAGGTTGATGGCTGCTTGGATGTGCTTGCACGTGCTGTCTGTACCAGTCCCAGGAAGTCATATCTTGCCACTCGCATCATCTACACCTCAATCCCGCTATTTGACAATGCTGGCAGTTGTTCCAAATGCGCCGCTCACCTCGAAAAAGAATAAGAATAAAAAACCCTGTATGCAAGGAGGGTATGATGCACTTGGCGGTGGCCAGTTCGATTCAGATGGATGCTCGTCTTCAAGAACTCTGTGTCTCATTTTCTTTCAGTTGTTAAAAAAGGTTAAGCTATTCTTGAAAGGTGCTTCTTTGCAGTTATTGTTTTGTCTGCTTCATACCTTAAGGAGAGAGCGGCATGCCTGCAATTGGTTGCGCTGATGACTCAGTAGACGTGGCCAGCCAGCGAAGCGGTCCACGCACTGCTGCGAAATCGAAAGCAGGTCCAAGCCAGAGAGTAGAAGACAGTGCCATGAGAATTGTCAAGGAAGAGGACAAAGAAGCTGACGACATTCCTCTAGAAGATGCTACTTTTGAGAGGCTGAAGCAAAGACGTCACATGAGGGGAGCCAACACGTCAGATGTAGATTTCGCGCACCTGTTCAACTCCTTGGCAAAAATGAACGACTGCTTCCAGCAAGAACCTGCAGAGGAGATCGATACGTCAGACACCATCTTGCACAAGGTTCGGCTATGGCAAGATTGTGTGCGCAAGACATTTGCGGATGGCTCTGACTACTTCATTCGCCTCGGGGTGGGTGTCTTGGCATTTGGGCGGGCCAGACAAGCAGACATCTTTCTGCGAGAGCACGCGTTGCTGTACTGGGTCGCCGAAGGCCACTCCACCCTGCGTTTCCACACAGGCGACTGCTACATGAAAACCCCAAGTGGTGCATTCCAACAGCACAGGGGCATACCCCCTGACCATGATCGCGTGCAAACTTTTCTTCTGCATGTGGAGGGCATTTTTCGGAAAATGCCCGTGCGAACACACCGGACTACTGCAGGACTGCTAGGCGCAATGAAAAACATTCTCCTTGACTATGACAACCAGGAGAATCAATTCTTGGCTGCGTGCGTGAATGCTTGCTTAACTTTTGAAGGGCAGCAGCGCAAAGAAAAGAATAGAGAAGAACACGCAGATGAAGAGCAAGAGGGTCCGGGGCAACAAGGTCCACAAGGACCATGGAATGCAGCCACTGCGAAAACCATCATGGCAGTGAAAAAGCAGTTGTCATATGAGCTGTGCCAAGATAAGCTCCTACATTTTATGTCGGAATGGTGTGACACACCCAAGGAAGTGGAAGCTTCGTGTTGCTACGAAGACTGCGCGGTGAAATACGATGATGAGCTCCTACCTGCTCGACAAATTCAGCGTGAGCAGCTTGTGAACTGCTATTTGAGAATCCCTCATTCCATCAAGCAAACAGTGCCTGCCGACATTGTGGAAAGGCTTCGCAAGTTCTATTCACAGACGTTCTGGGGGAATATTGAAGCCTTCAAATGTGGACAGGCAGCGCAAGCCTTGGCCAAACGAGGTCTCAACGTTGTTCGGCTCTTTATTGGACTATCTAGTGGTGGGGTTGGACAATCTCTCTACTCCACTCATCTTCAAGCAATGTATGCTCACAATTTTGCTTTCTTTGATCCTGGCGTTTGGTTCCACGAAGATGAAATGAGGAAGCAAGTGGAACAATTGAATGGACGTTGCATTCTGACTGGGCAGGAGAGTCCGTCTGGCACTGGTCGCGCCTGGGCTAGAGTGTGGGTTTGTAATCTACTTGTTCTAGTTCTTCTGTTTGATGTGGCCATCGTTTGCTTAACTGAAACCGTTACTTTGTACACCCAAGGCAAGCTGAGAGAAGACCTATTCAAGAAATTCGTCAGTGGCGACGGCATCGCAGGACGAAAGCCCTATGGGTTCAGCACCAAGATGATTCACTGTGTGGGCTGGAAACGCCTAGAGGCAAATCGTATGTTCACTTTTGAAGATGTGGGCAAGAGAAATTTTAACGCAATTTTGAGAAGAGCGCTGGTTTGGAGAGCCAGAGCAAGGTTTGAAGATCCACAGGTTATCGCGTCCGCATATGCAGATATCCACAAGGACGGTGTCTTTCCGAAAGACCCAGATTTAGCGAGCTTCCTCACATCTTCGGCTGCTGTCGCTGCAGCGCTACAAATTCAGCATGCATTCGAGGCAGAGTACAGCAAGCAAGCTTGCATTGACATGATCGAGAACTATGTCACTTGGGGTGGAGATGGTGGCTTGACAGAGCAAACAATGAGGGAAGCGTGCAGGCTCCCGCCCAGAGATATCCGTGCTGCCAACACAAAGTTTTCTGCAGTCATCCACCTAGATGAAGTAGAGGATGATGAAGAAAAGGAACAAAAAGCTCAATGGTGCGCTGCACGAGAAGCTGTCATGGATGTGGCTTTCAGCAAAAAGAAAATGTTCTTCCCGGAAGCCTTGTTGACAAGCTTGAAAGCCAAGGGTGGCCCAAATGTTTCGAGAGAAGGCTTGCTTGACGGACTGCTGAACATGAAGTACTTGCAGAGGTTGCCTGGATCAAAGAAGGCGGACACCCGCTACATTCCTGTCTTGACTGCTGAGGTCTCTTTGTGTGACATTTTGCATCACCAGGATCGGATTTGTGAGCTTGAGTTGTCTGAAATGTATAACATCGACAAGTTCAGCAACTACCTCACCCAGCATCCTCACAGAGCAGCTAATTCAAAGATTTTGGCAGATGTCCTTCAAGCTTCTTCAGAAAGCAGAAGACCTAGAGCAGGCAGACCTTCACCAGAGGAGGTCAAGCAGAAGGAAGACATGCAAGCTCGCAGTCGCAAATTGCGGAGTGGTGAGACTCACGGAGAGGAGTTGCTAGAGGCACTAACAGAGCCAATCCAGAAGAAACGCAGGTTCTCGCAGAAAAAGCCTGAAGTCAAGACAGAAAATTCTGAAGATCACATTCTCATCCGCAAGGTGAACTACCAATACCCTGGCCCTTGCACTATCCGAACTCGCAAACAAGTGGTAGGTATCGGAGCTCAAAAACTCAGCAGAAGAGCGCAGGTGATGCTTTTGGATCAGACACATGACCTGGACATCGAGAATTGTCTTTTCACTTTGCTTCCCCAACTGCTGGAGAAATTGAAATTGGATCCACCAATGCCACCGGATGCACTAGCAGCCTTTGCCCAGCGCAGGTCACAAAGGACTAAAGTTTGCGCAGATGTCTTGCAATTGCCCCTGCACGTGGGCAAAGAGCTGCTGGTATCTATTCTGTACGGCGGACATGTATCGGGCAAATTGGTGCGACATGACTTTGTGCAATCTTTGCAGCGAGCATCTATGTATTGCAAATGGGCTGCTGCTTCCAGCTTACCTGAGGAGTTTGCATCCTTCGTGGAGGACACTACAAAGAAAAACCCTGACAGCTCTGTTCTAGCTTATCTCTACATGGCCGCTGAAGACTACGTTCTGTCTCACTGGTGCGATCATCTTTTGACCTTTTCACCCACCCACTTGTCACTACACTTTGATGGTGTCCGCATATCACCTCTGCAGGGGATCTCCATTGAAGAAGTTTGCAAGCAAAGTGCATCCTACATTCTGGACAAGACTGGCTTCAAGGTCACAATCCGAGAGAAGAGACATGAGACTGTGAATGCCTTGATCAAGAAAGCTGCTGCGTGTGCGAAGAGGGCTCCCTTTCCCACAGATCATGTCTACTGTGCGCCAGGGAATTGTATTCCCCACGCTTTGGCCAGTTTGGGTGCCATTACGGAAGAGAAGGTGTCACTGTTGACAGAAGCATGCCCAGACAATGCATATATGCAACAGCGTGGATGTCGCACATATCTGCAATGTTCCAATATGTTCCACTGTTCCTTCTCGTCCGTCTTGCGCACTCAGTCTTTTGATTTTCGAGGAAACTTCCTCTTACATTCCGAAAATGGTGGCAGCCCACATTGCGTTGCTGTGAAGCAGGACGAGGAAGACAAGCTGATTGTTTTTGACACAGATGGTGTCTTCCACTTAGCAGTAGCTGACTTCGAGACAGCGTTGTTAGGTGGTGTGGATGCTGCCACGTGTGTTATTTTCAAACTTCAGGACGGCAAAAAGGATACAGATGTGGGTATGTCCGATTTTGAGAACCTCCTGGACTTAGCAGCAGGGAGTTCTGAATCAAATGAAGAATGCACTACAGACGATGCTCAGGACACAGCATTACTGCCAGAGGTGTCCGAAAAGAAGGGAAGCTTTGATTGGCTAGATGACACTGGACGTGTGATCACCGACCAGGTGTTGTTGAGTGATTTGCAAACGGAGGCGCAAAAGTTTATGGAAGCTGCCAAGGCTGGACAATTCCGAGCCGAACGCGGTGCTTTTCAATGCCCTGCGTGCCCCTTCCGGAAGTTCGACCGCTGCAAGCGTCTGGCTGTCCATCTTTCTCGGTATCATACAGCAAAGCGTCAGTTCTGTTGTTCCGGCACAAAGCAGATCAAAATCATTCTTGCTCTCCATGACTCAGACATGATTGCTGAAAAAAGGCAAGGGAACTACCTGAAGCGAAGCGCCACGCTGCTAAGAAGATCTATCAAGCCAATGCTTTCGCCGCAGAACAACGCCGTCGACAAGGAAATTCGGTTTCTATTGGATGCTTCAGGTCCAAGGGTAGTGCATCGGCAAGCGCTTCGCAGCGCGCGTCGAGTTGGCAATATGTACTACACACATTCCTTCGCTGAGCGGATCTTCCAAGAAATGCTCTTGAACCATGCCAAGGCGCGGGGAGATGAAAAAGGTTCAATGGTCGCACAGCATGTGCTATGAAGGTGAAAAACCCTTGTAGTGACTGCTCTAAGCACCCCTCAGGTGTCTGCCTTGGTACCTCGTTTTTTGCTTGACTCAGCAAAAGCTGGCAACAGCCTGGCGTCAATGCTGCCCACCCACACTGCGTGTTGGTGGCCTGTGGTTGAGGACGTATTCGCATCAGCAGCTTGCAAAAAACTCCGTCATCATCTCCTGGACCAAGCTGTTGCGCATGAGGAGTGCTCGTACCTGTCCATTGATGGAACATTCAAGGTATGCTTGCCATTGATGGGGCAGGGTCGGTTTTCAGACCCAAGAGCCTTACGCGACCAGCATCCTTTTCCGGCAAGTGACAGCTACACCCGTGTTCTCTCAGTGCGGGGAAGAAGCGGTGCAGTGCTTTGCCTGGAGCCATCTTGTGGAGAAGGCGCAGACCACATCAAAGCGTGTCTTCAAAAAAGCATTTCAGCGCCTGGACTTTTGCAAGTGAAACATATTGCAAGCGACAATCCTTCACCGAAGCTTTTTTCTGAGCTCAAATCGATCTGCGCAAACCTCAAGGCCTTGTCTTTAGACCCAACACATACGGCTATGCACTATGAGCAGGGGCTGGGAGGAAGAAAGTCTGCAGGTTCGAGCCTACTTCGGTCATTCATGGTGAAGTTCACCAACCACGACGAAGCAGTGACCCAAAACATTTGGGGACCATTCTTTGAAGGACAAGCTTGCGTGGCCCTATCTCGTGAGGAGCAAATGTTGCGACAACACATTCTGGACAGCTCCTTGGCAGTTGTCCGTTCCAAGCGGATACTGGCTTCTTGTGAAGAATTGAAGGTCTGGCCTACACGGATTCAGTTTGTGGAGGCACTGGCTGCACTTTCCTGTCTTCACAGAACCGACATGGGCCGGAAGATCGAAGGGACTAAAACTACGCTGGCGAAGCTCCTACACAATGTCACAAGTGCAGAGCAGCTGGAGTGGCTCTTCAACAACTTGAGGTACAGGCAATTCTTACCACATCGAGTTCGTCTGCTGCTGCCTTCAGGCACTACTGCCAACGAAGCACTCCATGCAGAAATCAACTCATGGTATCGACAGACTCAGCAGATGCACCGCAGCACATTGGTGCAAAAGCTGCAAATCCAGCAGCTGGGCAAACTATTGGCCCACAACATTGCTTTGCACAGCCCCACAGCAAAGCAGATGCCAAGCTCTCATGTCCTCTCACAGCGAGTTGGAAATCCTCTATGGTCAGCCAAAACCTGGCAGTCGGACATGGCGCAACAAGCATCAACCTTGCCATTGAAAGCTCGCAGAAAAACAGAGAAGGAGCTGGTGGCAGAAGCAGCTAAAAAGCGTCCAGCAGCAGCTCCAAGGCCGAAGGCGCGTGCGAAGCGCACGCCATTTACTTTGGAGCGCAAACCCGGTCTCTTAAGGAGCGGGGTGCGCAAAAGAAACTCGATGTGACAGGTGAAAAAGAATTGCGTAAACACTGCTTGCTGTGCTTGTGCAAACACAAACAACACTATCTTTGGACATTGGCACGCTGGATTAGACTTAACCCTTCTACACTCTGCGCGCTCAATACACAAGCAATTAGTATGTACTCTCAGCGATCAATATGTTGCTTTCTCCCGGCCCTACCTGCTTGCTTGCCTGGTATAGAGGGAACCTAATCTCTATGATTTGCTGGATAGTTTCTTGGCATCGCGCTCCGCATCTGGTTCTCCAGTTTCAAGTCCAGTTATGGAACTGGAGCAACAGCCTTGCTATTTAACGTCTGCGAAGTATTATTGTGCTCTTTTGCTGACAGGAAAAATGGGCGGGTGCTGGATGTTGCACTTAGAACCAAAGCAAATGTTGTCTTGAGAGCTCCCACGACTCATTGTACCTATTTTTCCATGCCTCGG